CCCCCGCCCCCCGCCGCGCCGCCCCCCCCGCCCCGCCCGCCGCCCGCGGCCGGCCCCCAGGGCGGGCCGGCGGGAGGGAGGGAGAGAGAGAGATGTATAGTCCACCCTTACAAGTGCTTAGGAGTTTCTATTAGACCAGACAAGTCCTGAGAAGGGAAGATTCCCTGCCTATGATATATAGGCTTGGAATTCCCAGGAAAGAATTTGTAAGTAGCTCAATGGCTCTCCTGATAACAGCAAGTCAATTTATACAAATCATTTCCCCCTTTTAAAATAAATATAGCATGTGCTTGTGGAAAGAGCTTGTGTTGGTATTTATGGAAATACTGTACAACTTATAATAGGCTGCATTCACTTCTAAGCTTATGACTTGAGTTGGAGAAAAGTAGTCATTATATAATACCACTTCCAGCAACATCCAACCTCTCTGTCAAACAAAAATAGAATTTGGAGCTCAAATGGCTCTAATGCCTACTCCCAAAGGTGATCTATTGACTTATAGAAATAGAGCAGAACCCAGCTATCTCCCCAGATTTTTATGCAAATGGTCTCGATCCTTTGGGAGATGAGAAGAGGTACCCTAGAGTAGCCATTTTGAAACCCATCATTTTCTGGGTTTCAGTTGAGAAGCTGGGGAGAGACACGGTAAGGTGACCGTGTCTAGGGGTTCTCGAGGCTGAGCGAGGCTTAAGTGTCAGTTGCTTTTCAGTGGGAGACTGGTACAAAGAGGAAACGTGAGTCAGAAGTGCTCCTCCCAGGCTTCTAGAGCCTCTGTGTCCTGTCTTAGCTGTGTCTCCTCTATTATAAACAAAGATCACTTAGGCTAGCAAAATGGCTCAGGGCATTAGAGCGCTGGCTGCTGAGCCAGACGACTTGAGTTTGATTCCAGGAGGCCATATGACAGAAGGAGAGGACAGATTTCTCTAAGTTGAGCTCTCATTTCCGCATGCACAGAATGAATGAATGAATGAATAAATGCAATACAAAACAAAGATTATGTCAAGTCACTTATTTCTTCTTTGGCCAATCTCTTTTGTAAACTCACATCTAAATCTCTTATGCCTGTATGAGTTTCTTTTTCCAGAGAAAACAGAGGTTTGTTTGTTTGTTTGTTTACAAAGTGAGGTATTTAAGTATTCATGTGCAGTAATGAGGTATCAGTTTAAATTTTCTCATCTTTTAACCTGATAATTGTAGGTGTGTCACCTTTAAATTATTTCATTATAGCTTTACATTTTAGCCTTATAATTTATAAATTGGTAAATGTGCTGTTTTTAATTTCTACCTTTTGTTGTTTGATTTTTTTTCTATTCTTCTTTTTTTATCTTTTTTGTTCTTTTTTTTTTCTCTTTTGCTTTGCTTGGTTTCATTTTGTTTTTCACTTTTGTTTTGATACAAGTTCTTGCTCTGTCGTCTCTACTAGCCTGCAATTTGCTGTGTAGTCCAGTTGGACCTCAAATTTAATGTACTCCTTCTACCTCTCTGCCTCTTGAATGCTGGGATTAGAGAAAAGCACCACCACACTAGCCTCCATTCATTTTAAATCTAGATCATGCAAAATCCTCCCATTCCCTGCCTTCCCTGCTAAAGCTCCACTGTTCTCCCAAGGAATGACCTGTGACCCTTAGCCATGCTATACTTCTAGGCCAGCACTGTTCAGGAGAAACTCAACGGGGAGTCTCTCTCTCTCTCTCTCTCTCTCTCTCTCTCTCTCTCTCTCTCTCTCCCTCCCTCCCTCCCTCCCTCCCTCCTTCCTTCCTTCCTTCCTTTCTTTCATCGTGCTGGTGGTGAGGGACTTAGGCAGTGTTATGTGTTTTGGAAGATGACCTTGAACTCTTGTTCTTTAAGAGTTGCTACCTCTACCTCCATTGCTGTGGTCCCAGCTGTGTACCACCCTGATGAGCTATAACAATTTCTTTATGCCAAAAGTGACTAGATCAGAGCCAAAGTCTCTGGAACTAGTGTTACCTAAAGCTGTGGTAGCAGGAAGGCTCCAGTGCTCATGGTGAGGGGCTTTAAGGCCTGTCTGCTCCAGGCCTCAGTGAAGGTCTCTGCAGTTTTCACTGTTCC